ACTGTCTACTTTGTTTCTATTATGACTGCTTACGGATTGATTTGCGTATTTGTACGCTAAATGTTTGGGCAAGTAATGTGAGTTTCTTACTCAATAGGACTGTGCTCTTTTGCTGATGAGACTCAATGTGTGTCGGCAATGACTATGCGGTTCCTGTTTTAGCGTTGTCTTGCCTTTCCTTTGACAGTGTCATCCAGGCTTAGTTTGAAAAATTACAGACCCAAAAACAAAACAAAACATAAAGGGAAACAGGCAAACACGTTAAATATTGCGATAGCTTTCGTTTGAATGGACGCACTTGCAAGCTTCACTAAAGTAATAAACTGGCTGTGGGATTATTTCATGGAATTGGGGCAAGAGAGTTAAGGAAATTTTATATAAAGGTCAATAGTGATAACGCAGTATGCAGTAGTTGGAGATGTACTTGTTACTGTAGCCTGCGTATAAAGGGGAAGGGAGGAGGAGGAAAAGAATTCGGGGAAAGTAACGCCTACTACAAAGCCGTTTCTTTTGCATCTCTACCTACTGTTTTACCGTAATCGGACCAACAGAACTGTCAGTTCAATGACCAATCCGAATAAGGCGCGCACTTTTCTGCATGACTGGCTTTATGCTGGAAGGCGTGAAAAAATATTCATAGCAGCGAGCATTGTGAGAAAATCTTCAAGCCGTGTAATGTCAGNACAAGGCAAAGAACAGATATGGCAACATTATTGCTTGTAAGATAACCTCCACTGTCTACTTTGTTTCTATTATGACTGCTTACGGATTGATTTGCGTATTTGTACGCTAAATGTTTGGGCAAGTAATGTGAGTTTCTTACTCAATAGGACTGTGCTCTTTTGCTGATGAGACTCAATGTGTGTCGGCAATGACTATGCGGTTCCTGTTTTAGCGTTGTCTTGCCTTTCCTTTGACAGTGTCATCCAGGCTTAGTTTGAAAAATTACAGACCCAAAAACAAAACAAAACATAAAGGGAAACAGGCAAAGACGTTAAATATTGCGATAGCTATCGTTTGAATGGACGCACTTGCAAGCTTCACTAAAGTAATAAACTGGCTGTTGGATTATTTCATGGAATTGGGACAAGAGAGTGAAGGAAATGTTATATAAAGGTCAATAGTGATAACGCAGTATGCACTAGTTGGAGATGTAGTTGTTTCTGTAGCCTGCGTAGCAGGCGTATAAAGGGGAGGGGAGGAGGAGGAAGAGAATTCGGGAAAGTAACGCCTGCTACAAAGCCGTTTCTTTTGCATCTCTGCCTACTGTTTTACCGTAATCGGATCAACAGAGCTGTCAGTTCAATGACCAATCAGAATAAGGCGCGCACTTTTCTGCATGACTGACTTTATGCTGGAAGGCGTGAAAAAATATTCGTAACAGCGAGCATTGTGAGAAAATCTTCAAGCCGTGTAATGTCAGCAATTCCCACAAAGGTTTGTAAAAGAGGAAGAAAACCAAAGAAAGACATTCAGAAAAACAGCAGCTGCAGATTTTGTGGTGTAAACTTTACTTCTGGAGGAGGAAGAGCGTCATTTGAAAATCTGTTTTCGCCGTCGGGCAGAGAAGAAAGTGTCGGGCTGATTTTAGCTGAGTGTTGTGGTTCGATTGGGTTTCCACTAATGAGAGACGAAAACTTTTCAGAACGGGTCTGTAGATCTTGAAGTCGCAAAATAAGAAATGCAGCTGAACTGTACAGTTTTACTGAGCAAGCTGTATGTAGCACAAGAGTCGATGAAGATTTAAACTGCAAGGATTCGGAAGATCGATGCAAAAGACAACTTCCCACCACTATRACGCCTGAAAGAAGCAACACCAAACTGAAACAGCTTATCGGAACAGACGGTAAACGSAACCAAAAAAGTACTGGAAATGTTAATTCCAAAAAACCTTGTTTTCGGATGCTAAKCAACGGAGAAATCACCAGAATCGTTGCTTTAAAGTCCTTGGCGCGAACAAACATTTGATATATGAGGCTTTTGCTGTATCCTGTGGGCAACACCGCTATAATACATCTTTTCCATCTAGAAGAGATTTTACTGCAACTTCTTGCTCCGGTTTTAACTTGAATTCACTACGAGCGACGACGTTCAAATCAGCCAAAGCTCTCGCTGGCATATCCACTTCGGCCGCCATTTTGGTTGTTTTCGCGTTACTTCACAAACCCGTCCTATTGTCCGATTAACCAATCTGAATTTTGCGGCCGCCAACGACCGCAGAAATGAACCAATAGGGGTCTTTATAGCAGGCGTTCCTTTTTCCCTGCCCCACGCCACTCCACCGTTTTTTTTGTTTTTTTCCCGAATTCTCTTTCTCCTCCCCCACCCCCTCCCCTTTATACGCCTGCTACGCAGGCTATTGTTACTGTAGTTTGAGTGGCTGATACCTGCAGTTACCTAAGTTGGCCTTCGGTATTTCTATTGTTTGTATAGATGACCATTCTCGCGTTGCACTGTCCCCAATTGAAGGAGTGGCAGGCTCGGATTTCATTAACGCCTCAAGAGTTGATGTAAGTGATAGATTTCTGTCTCGGAGAATTGCTTTTTACTTTTTTATTACTTTTCTTATTGTACTAGTTTCTCTTGTTACTTCATTTACGTGAACATGAACCCCGTGGCTCACGCTGTATAAGCTAACTTAATTCCTAAGATCTTACTTCACAGCGTTTATCATAATTTTACTCGTAATGAATCGAATTGAATTCATGTCAACATTTGCGATTCAAAGTTATTACTGTATATTGTAAATTTTTTCTTTCTTTTTTCTCTATTTTTGATTGTCGTCTCCTTATTTCCAGGGATACAACAAACCAAACGCATACGTTGCTAGTCAAGGTATGTATCGATGTGCTCATTGCCAACAATTACACCCTATCGGTTTTCTAAGACTCTTTTTGATAAGAATATCGAACCTGAAATAAGCGAAATTTTGATATATAACTTAGGTAGAGATTTTGTGTACAACATTTGTTTGCGTGTTAATTTTTTTCTTTGTTGATGTGTTATGGGCTTTTTTTCTTAATTTTTTTTTTTTTTTTAATGAACTTTGTCTTAGCTTTGAAAAGTATGATATGACTTCATTTCCTAACAAAGCCAGCTTAGAAAATGATAAAAACCTAAATATATACGAGGTAAAGCGATAAGCACGTGTGCAGTGTAGCCCAATAAAGACACCACGCAGTTCTATTTGGAATGTCAATTCCTGGTCCGTTTGCTTAACTGAAATACATGCATGTATACTGTACTATACTCTGTAATCTAAGCTGGTACACAAGCATATTTTCCGCTCAAAGTTGGAAGCAAAATCCAGCCCGGACATGAGAAAGAACTTTAAAATGTTGTTGTTAATTCGTTTCTTACAAGAATGGGCTTTTTCAGAAGTAGGGTGGATTATCTGATCCCGTCCTCCCCCTCCCCTCCCATGTTTGCCATGCCCTTGCGATTGGACAATTTTTTCCCAACGTTATTTGTCCCAACAGGCCCAGTCCCTCCCGCCTTTGACGATTTTTGGAGGATGGTATGGGAACAGCGGTCAGCTTCAATAGTCATGTTGACAAATCTACAAGAGAGACACAAGGTATGTAGCTTGGCGAAATTTGCCGGCTACAAGAATGTCATAGGCAAATATTGCTATTCTATTTTGCGGCAAGTAGCAACAGAAACTTCAACTAGTAATGGAGCAGAGAGAAGATGCAACAAACCTGGGAGCGGTCTTCCTAGAAACTTTTGTTTCCACTCTCACGGGAACATTCGAAAATCTTGGGTTTTTGTAGTTATTGTCTTTTACTCTATAAACGTGTTGCACTGACTACGTGTAAGTCGTTTGTGGAGAGCGATGGTCTTGAAATGGAAAAGGAGAAAGTCATTTCACTCTTTGTGCTCTTTAATATGGAAGATGTCCTCCTACTGTGAGATGACAAACTGAACTAATTTTGAAAATGTAGAAGGCCCAGCGACTGACTGATCCTAAAGGGAGATGATCCAAATTAGAGATTTTACAACGATGCTAAGAAAGCATTACTCTTAGTACAGGTGCCCTTGATACCATTACCGTATTTTACACCAAGGGTTGTGCTCTTGTTCCTTTGCATCATCTTACATGTATTTCGTATGTGCATTATATTTCCAGCTGAAATGCCACAAATACTGGCCAGACGAGACACAGGACTACGGAGACATTTCTGTGATGCTTGTTAAGTCAGAGCACTATTCAGACTACATAATAAGAACGTTTAATGTGAAGCGGGTTAGTAGCATTTCTGTAGTTTATTAATTACCTTGAAGAAAAGACCGCGAATAGTGCCCAAACTTTATAGTGACCTTAAATAATTTACTTGTGTCCTTTCCAGGAAAGCGAAAAGGAGGAGAGAGAAGTGAAACAGTTTCATTTCACTGTGTGGCCTGATCATGGCGTGCCTGAATATCCCACTGCCTTGCTGGCATTCAGGAGACGAGTCAGAGCTTATAACCCGGCTGATGCTGGACCGCTTATTGTGCACTGCAGGTTTGATATCGCGTTTGTTTCCTGTCAGTCATTTGTTCATTTTTGTCGATATTTGCTTGTTAGTTTTTGTATCACAATTTGCGTCCGTGTTCTTGTTAATTGTTTTTCGTCATGTTCGAATTGATTCACAAGCACAGTGAATATTTCTTAAAGCATAAACAAGCGAATATTAACGTTAAAAGCCGACGTTTCGGCGTCATCGTGACACCATTCTCAAGGCAAAGTGAACGAATAATGCGATATCGATGATTTGATTTCTATAGTCTCTACAAATTAACATAATAACAAAGGATCACAAATTCTTCAAATAAATACCTTTGCGCGAATCATCCCTAAACGTGCAAACAGAATATTATTCCGCATTACTGTTTTCTTCGTTGCTGACTTCTTGTGCTGTTTCGTTTTGTTTTCAAGTGCTGGAGTTGGCAGGACAGGTACATTCATGGTTATCGATAGCACGCTCGACAGGATAAAGGCGGAAAGTACAATCGATATTTTCAACTTTGTTGCTTACTTGAGAACACGAAGAACAGCCATGGTTCAAACAGAGGTGCGTAATACATCCTTTTTTTATTCTGATGAAAATCTTAGACCAAGACTTTGCCAAGGTTTGAGATTTTCCTGTAAAGACCGAATGTTCAAGGTTAATAACTTGTTGATTATATGGTTTTTTGCTTTGTTTTTTGCAGCCCCCTAATCGGCCCGTGGGCATTACGGGAGAACAGTGCCCCAGAATTAGCCAATCAGAGCACGCCTTATCTCGGCTACAAACACAATCCATATAATAAAAATGGTTATTGAAAACTTCCAAGTACTATTTAAGATTACAATATTACTTTATTTAGATCTATACGTTTGGTTTGTTTCTTTCAGGAGCAATACACCTTTTGCCATGACGCCATTTTAGAATCCGTGCAGTGCGGCAACACACAGATCTACGCTCATGACTTGAGAATAACGCTAGCTCGTATGAATGAAGGGAACAAAGAATCCAAAGTGACACGCTTTGAGTCTGAATTCAAGGTGAGTAATCATGCTTGCGTTTGTCCAAGGCCCCGTTCACACTACGCCTGAGGAATTAGAAAATGAAGGCATCAAACGTTTTCCGTCCACACTAAACCGGAGAAATTTCAAACGAAACAATCACCGGTCATTTTGGATTTGCGTTTGAGGAAAACTGTTGCAGTGAAATCACATGAATGTCGTGATGTCATCGTTTTCGAAAAGCTTCATTTTCAAAATGTTTTCCGTGCACACTAACACGCGAAGCTGGGGTTTTCAAATTCCTATATACGGTTTGAAGAGCGTTTTCGAATAGCTGGGCTTAACCGGAGAAATAAAGCTGCGCTTCAGATTTGTTTGGCGTATTGTGGACGGGGAGTGAGGCTAAACTCTGGCGCATGGCCATACATGTAGTTCAAATAATTGAATCAATAAGTAATTACCGCCTTTTGCTAGCCCAGTTGGCCAGTTTTCCAGGTTAGTTTAATTAGCTTTTTGTACTTTTTTCAGACACTCAACAAAGTCAGCCCAGTACTACACAAAGGACACTGTATTGTGGCGTCGTATCCAGAGAACAAGGAGAAAAACAGATCGCAAGAAATTCTAGCACGTAAGTGGTCATCTAAAGTGAATTAAAATGTTTTTCAATGTAGTGAAATATATTCGTTAAATCGTCAACTTTTGTTTTGATTACCAACGTCTCATTTTCACATTCATTCATGACTTTGCAGAGCAGATAAAGAGAAAAACGGACACGAAATTGAACTGATACTAAAAGGATAACCCACGAAAATTTACATTTCAAGCGCGTGACTAACGGAGTAAAGTCGCTATTGTTACTTAAGTACTGTGCTACACTTGTTTACATTAACTAACTGTGTCTCGTTTCGCAGCTGACTGTTATAGAGTGATTCTTACTGCAATTGATGACAATGAGTCCACTTCCTACATAAATGCTGTTCATATTTCGGTGAGTTATCTTTTGGAAACTGCACGGAAGATCAAAGAGCTACATATTTGATTTTGTTAGATCCCAGACTTCTGCATATGACTGCGCAAAATTTTGTCGAATGTCTATTTCGCTCCTAGCTCATGTCAATTTTTCTTCATTTTAGGGTTACAAGCAGCAGCATGCTTTTATTGTAACGCAACACCCTATGACTTCCACCGTGACTGACTTTTGGCGCATGCTCTGTGAGCAAGAATGTTCCTGTGTCGTGTTGTTTGATTCAAAAGAGGAAGAAGCGGTAAGGCAACATATAATACCGCTTGTAAAGCTAAATATTACTCTTGGGCAACACTGGTCCTATGAATCATGTCTCATTTGGCAATAGCATGCCATGGGTTAATGGTAAGATACCTGAGATGTTGTGGAGTAGGTCAGTAAGATGGTGTCTGTCGTTTGGTTGGTTGGTTGGTTTATTGGTCACTTCAACAATCTCAAAATGGAGACTGCGGCAACTAGAAGTTGTTTGTTTGTTTGTTTGTTTGTTTGTTTTCTGTTCCCTTTGGTGATGATTAAGCGCTAATATAGTAACTGTATTTCCATGATGTGTAGGATTTCCCAGTCTTTTGGCCCGAATCTGACACAGCGACCTACGACGACATGTTAACGGTCCAGCGGTTGGCTGTCAACAGTAGCAGTGTAGATAACTTGAAGGCGAACTATGACCAATCAGAAATCACCGAGAAGACCTTTAAAGCCACTGACCTGAGAGTAAGTATGGCTTGCACGCAACATAGTGATATTTATTCTTCAGGTAAAATTGATGTTCTGATTCACGATATATATTTGCCGAAAGCACACCAGCATATGTAAATAAAGTGGCCAGGTATTTTGAGGTTGCTCCTCCCGTAGTGTTGATGTGTGGTAGTTGTCAGTCGGCTTCCTGGAAATTACTTGAGGTCACTGTTGAAAATTCCACTTCCTGTTATAAGTGTTCTTTTAGGGTTCGCCTGTTGCCGTTTATTGCCTGAAATTAATATTGAGCAAAATAGCAGGCATATTTTGTCGGAACATTCAGTCTCAAGCGCTCATGCACTACTTATGTTACAATTTTTCGACACTTATTATCGCATTTCGGACAAATTTTAGACAAAAATTTCGGACACTGCTGAAATATAACTAAAGTAAATTTACGCCTATAAAAGCGAATTATATTGAAACAACATCTATGGAAATGTAGTTTTACCCTACCCTCAGGGTTTTACAGATACACCGACGAGAAAAGAACACGTATTTAACAGTGTCTCAACAAGAGTTCGCTCCATAAAGGGAACTAAGAGCTTTGGAGCTACTTAAAAGTCTTTTGATATACCGTAAACATTTCAGGCGCGTAAAAATTTCGGACAGTTTTATTTTCGGACACTTGTTTACTAACATTGATTCTCTCTGACGTCTGTCTTCTCTAGACGCCTGAGAAGAGTCTGCGGATAAAGATGTTTCAGTACAGTGGTTGGGCCGATGGCAATAAAGTTCCCTCAGGTTCTGGTCTGATTACTTTGATCGCTAAAGTTGAGAAGTGGCAGCAGCACTCTGGAAACGGACCCATCACAGTTATCTGCAGGTGAGTGATACACCTAGGTGAGCGTATACCTTTGTTAGATTTGTTCAAAAAACCACTGCGTCCGTCTACACTTAATGCGTAAAGTTTAAATGTTACATTCACAGTCGTCTGTTAGTCTGTTTAGCTGGTTGTATTTCGCGTGGGAGTACTCCGTTTTGGCGACGAAACTGCGAAATTAAAGCCGCCACTCTTAGCTGTGTAAATAAGTCAGCTCAAAATTTCCATAGATAGACCATTTTACAGTTGTGTGAAATGTAACCGAGCCTCAGCATGGAAGCGAGGTTTCGATCGATCTTGTGACGATAAAGATTAAAAACTAGTTAGCACGATAACAGGACAATATATTTCAAAAGTGGCGAGGTGTGTATGATTACATTAAACAAAGACAACTCTAGCCTCTCTTCTCTTCAAATGCCTGACCACGAAGCACAGAGCTGTGAAATGTGACATTGCTTTGTTGTTTGATTTTCTTGTTGTCCTTTGTTTTAATTGTTTTTTGTGTGTTTCTGTGCTTTATAGTGACGGTCTTGGTCGCAGTGGAACATTTTGTGCGCTGTACTCGGTGCTTGAACGCCTGAAGATCGAGCAAGTCATCGATGTATTTCAGGCGATCAAAGCCATGAGAATTTCCCGCCCTGGACTGGTGAAGACTGCAGTAAGTTGAAGTTTTGGATCGGTAGAGAAATTCTCATTACTTTTTGTTTGTTTGTTTCTGTTGTAACAATGCTGAGAATTTGGTAGTAAAGTACATCTAGACAATTCCATAATTATTTGACTGCCCTTTTTGCAGGCGGAGTATAAATTTATCCATTATGCCATCCAAGATTACTTATCAGCCTTCGATGACTACGCGAACTTCAAGCCTTGAAAGACAGTCTGCTTAGAACAGAAAAGTATGAATTGAAAAAAAAAAGCTAACAGCTATGAGGACGCTTGAGGTCTCCTTTTGAGATTGTAGCGTAAATCAGCCACGCTTTTAATCAACTATCAGATCAGCTTAAAGCTTAGTAGGACTAAAATGAGTTAATATCGCGTGCGTAAATTTAGTCAGTCTTCAGACACTTTATTTTGTCGTGAGTTCGTTGATATAAACGTCTGTGGACTTGGATACTCTTACCTGACACCCGCGGGTCCCTAAAATGAACGCATGTTCCGCTTTGGAACTGTACTCCCTCGCGCGAAATCCACGCTATTAGTGGAACAGAATTCTGTCAGTTATATCCGCAATTCGATTGCGAATCAATTGAATTAACTTCCTTTTACGCATTAGTATTCTATACAGTATAGTTATTTTATAATTGTACAGAGACTGAAATAGCAACAGAAATAAAAGAATGACCTAGAGGGGTATAATACCTCCATAGAAAATTAGAATAGCGACTGACAGAAGGGACTTTCTACGGAGTTACCGACAGTTGCCATAATTGAATTGATGCTTTTTAGGTGATTTCACATTAAAAGTGATTTTTGATAAAGTGTACATTAGATTACTGCAGGAGTTTTATGTGGTCGAAACTTAGTGTTTTGTTTGCCCGTTATGTATTATAGATACAGTGTAGGTCTGCATTTTGTCCAAAAATTGATTATCGATGGAAAGGTCATTGTTTGGCAAATTGCTGGTTTCAAAGTTCTACGATAGTCAGTGAATCATCAAAGTTATTATCGTCTTAAGTTGACATAAAAGAGTGGGTAAAAGTGTCGCGAAACAGTTGTTTAGGCATGGTCTCATGGTCTGACACTACGTGAAGGATTTGCAGTAACAGATGTAAGAGTAGATTAAAATGAAATGCACATTTAGTAACTTAATGGTGCTATCCCTTAATGATAGTTTTTATTATATATATGAAAATCTTTTATAAAGTCATTTCAGTATTGTAAAGCATTGACTTTGTTTGGTGACTTTTTGCGATGTTTGAAATGCCAGTTTCGTATAGTTGCATGAGATTGCTAGCTCGAAAATTACGAAGCCTTAACACACCTTGAATGCGCCAATGTGTGTGGTATTTGCTCTCAACGGTATGCTAGGTAACTCTGTAAGAGGTTTATTGTGCGTGAGGTAAATTGAGACCTTTTTTATAACCAGGTTGAAATTATGAAATGTTTTTACATGTAAAATGTAGTTAGCCAGATATAATATAGAATTATATCTAGAAATAGCAATACCGAAATGCTGAATGCGAACCCTAGTCAAATCGCAGAGGCTTTTTCTTTTATTATAAATCTATTCTATTATTATAAATATAACAAGTATTTTCTTTCTCTAAGCAAGTGCATGAGAGTGAATGTATTTCCAATAGTGACCAGGTTATGGTTTTATAATTTATAAGTGATATTTTACCTATAACTAAATCTAAATCTATAAGCATAAAGGGGTGTCTTTATTCTAAATTGCCTAAGGAAAGGACTGCAGTAATCCAGAAACATGGATAACCTTTATGCCCGTCATCGAAGCATGAAGTTTTTATTTTTAACCTCAGTAGAAGGTAAACAATTTCAGTGTTTTCGAGGGAAAATATAAATACTGTTTCCCAAGGAACCAGTGATTATTTTGTTAGATAGCTGCAGTTTTGTGCAAAGTACTAAGGCAGGAAGAATTAAGAGTAACCTCTGGTTAGTGGAAGAGCGGGCGGCCTTTAGATTTAGTCATTGCTACGTGACCATAAATCAACCAATAATAGCGCACGTTAGGTTCAACTTAACTCCAGCTGTATAACAAAAACACTTATTAAAGTATGGTATGATAAAAATGAAAATAAATAAATTTATGAAGTTAATGGACGCAGTGCTGTGTGTTCCAAGCTTCCTTTTATATTGTTTCTTAGAAATAAAATGGTTTTTTTAATACAATAATTGTTCACCACTTGTGTATTGCACTTCATTCGCTATTGGCCATTCGACCAAACTTTATCTTTAGTCCAAAGGAAATCGTTTCTAACTCTTGGAGTGTGTGTAGTCTTGACTTCAAAGTCAATGCGAAATTGGACACAATAATGAGGGGTGGAGTAGGTGGTGCTGGGTTTTAGTAGCGAGGGAGGGTGGGTGGGTGGTGTACGTGAGCTTACATAAGTGCTGGGAAGAGGTTACAGATATTACAATACAGACCCTCACAAAGATATAAACACGCTGAATACGAACTTGAGTTGCGTGTGGTTGTCCTAAGCTACGTGTCTCCCAGTGTTTTATAATTAGTCACTGTTGCCTTAAGAAAAGAAAACAGAAACGTGTTGACACTGAAAACTGCAAGAAAAAATAATTGAAAATTGATTTTTCAATTCCATTTAATTTTACAGAAAATCATTAAATTCAACTATTTATTTGAACGTTTTAGTGCATCGAAGTTAACAGTTTACTCGAAAGAACAAATTTTCTTTTGTTAAATCATCAGAGCATTTTAATCGTGACAACCACAATGAAAAGAGCCGCCAACTTACAATAGTTCAAAAAAATTAAATCCAAACACAGCTGCCGCTCGTATTTTTTTATGATCTAACATTACCGGAGCTCTTTTGCGTAATACAAATCTGGGAAGCATTTTGTTGCCAGTGTACAAGTAGCCAAAGGTATAGATAGCCAGCTGAGTTGGAAAAATCTGAAACTTTGTCGCTATGTCGTTTGTGGTTGGAAACGATTCGTTTCCACACCAGCATCAACAAGAACAGACCTTACTTCAGCAACATCAGATGATCCCTCTTCCTTCAGCAATCCTTTTCACCTGCTTGGCACCAGTAACAGTTCTCGGCAATGGATTTTTGCTTCTTACATTTTACAGGAACTCTCCATCACTTCTTCGCACACCATCTAACTTCTTCATCTTCAGTATGGCGTGGGCGAACTTTCTTACGGGTTCTGCTCTGCAACCGCTGTTAGCGTACCACTATTATTCTCTCTATCTAAACGAGAATCTTTCCCTTATACTCCGGAAAGTGATGTCCGCGTTTTCCATTGTTACAATGAACGCTTCAGTATTTAGCGTCTGCGCTTTCTCGTGGGACAGTTTTCTGGCTTTGACCCAGCCCATTAAACATAGAAAGTGGGTGACCATCCGAAGGGCTAAAATGGGCATTGCTTGCGTCTGGATTTACCAAATCGGATTCGCGTGCTTGTTGTTTACAAACATACCGTTGTCATTGGTACTTCGGGTCGATCTACATTTGAACACGACTTTGACATCTACACTCTTGCTTGCGTGTTACGTTTGTTTGTACAAAGCTTTTAAGCAGCGTGAACGGAAGAGAGTGAGGTCTTTCAACAGTCCCAGACCGCATATGAGCTTCAGGGCCAGAAAAAGATGCGCCAAGTTGGAAAGGCGCATGCGTATGATTATCTTCTTGTTTACCTTGGTGACGACCATTCCGATTCTGCCAGTAACCGTAGTGTGGCACTTGACATGGTATTGCAGTGAGTGCCAACGCAACCAGGAACTGTTGCTGGCTGAAAAAGTGCTGAACCAACTTGTGTTTGTCAAGTTTGTTCTTGACCCGTTTGTCTATGCCTGGCGCTTGGAGAGATACCGGAAGGCGTTGAAGAAAATGTTGTGCTGCAATCGCTGATACATGGGTATTGCGTTCCATTGCGGACAAAAAGATATAGATGGTGACATGTTGAAAACCATAATACGAGGGTTGAAAATTGTATAATAACATAGAAGGTAATAAAATTATTATATGTCGAGATTGACAAAATATCTGTTGACTAACGATATAATGGTAGTAAACAGATGTCATGAACCCCACCCCCCGTCCACCCCAACCCCCCCTCCCAACAAAAAAGGACTCGACGCGTACGCTTTGAAATTCGAGTCCACAAAAGCTCTGAGTTGAGAAAAAAAAAGTACGAGAGAACGCTGACCAGTTGTCTTGCTAGTCTATGGTTTCCTTCAAAGTAAGACAAAGTTTCGGTCTAAAATGGCAGCCCGTTGGTTGCCTCTTGCATTTTTTTCCTTCTTCTTTGCTAGACTTGCAGAGAAATCGGAAATACAGCTTTAAGTTTAGCGTTACATTACACTTACGAAATTTTGTTTCGATCCTAAACATCAAAAAAGCTTTGCAGACTTAACCTTCTCTTGATTATGATAACAATGGTTGTATGGATAGTCCACATAGCAATGTACATCCTGTAGCAAACGAACACTTCCGGAGACCCTAGCCAGCGAGACAGACACCTTAAGACACGGGACGCATTTAGACAAATTGCGCGCAAGCGAAATATATCTGATGGATTATAAGCGATGGTATTCGGTCTCGCTATTTTTACACAAAGGAAGTAGAGTAACTTATTGTCCTCTATCCTTAATTGTAATAACACCAAACATGAAATTTCTTATTCTTGTCTTGGGTTTTAGTGGTGATAACAGCCACTTGATTTCCACAACCAGATATCGCTTCCCGAATGGGGAATGCGGCTCTGACGTCACTGATCCATCCATGCCTGCGAAGAAACAAAAGAAAATTTTATGACCTCTTAAAAACACACATTTCGGATCGATGCAGCCCTTTACTACTAGAATCAAGTTCAATTCAAGTCGATCTTGATTCATTCAAATCTTCGATACTAACCTACTCACAATCTCCTAATTCACAGCTTTCATAGGGCTTTTTACTGATATGGCGGGCCATTTTGAATTCTATTGTTTCAAATAGCTATTATGGTATGCTCAGGGGGCTAAAACATAACAATTTTCTTTTGAAGCATCCCTTAATAGCTATTTGAAACAATGAAATTCAAAATGGCCGCCGTATCGGCCAAAAAAAGTCAAAACTATTGATCTTCCTGAGAATTGACTTAAATGATGTATAAGAGCAGCTGAAAACTAATATTCATACAAATGTTTGCTCCGAATGGGTTCTTGGTTTTGTGATACACTACGCTTGAATTTCCAAGCTTTCGCGTGACGCGGCAGTTACATGACGGCCTAGAGAGCTGTCATGGTGGTTAAAAAAGTGAATTATTTCGGGGAACTTGGCTATCTGAACAGTTCATGTCTTAGAAAAAGTATTATTTTAATGTTTTAGAGTTTCTTGAGGGACAAATTCACGCTTTTGTAGCAAAACTCAGTGACAGATGTTTCTGCTGGTTTCCGGCCGCCATGTTGGTGCCCATACCGATGGGTACCAGCATGGCGTCTCCATACAAATCTATAAATTTGGGTAAAAAATTTCTCCGCATATCTCGCATAAGAAAAATTGCCGTGACCAGAATTTTGGCGAGAGTCTTTGCATATTTACGTTCTCTCATTTCCCAGGTTCTGGACTTAATCTATTGACCGGTTTTGATTTTTATCTTAATATATTTTGAATTGCGTGACACTGAAAACCAGCAATTGTCCATTTGAAAGGTCTACAAAGGGTTGAAAGGCGAAATTTTCACAATTACCAAATGAGTAATCAGGTTTGCAATCAATTTTTTTTTTCTTTTTTTTTTTGCAATTGCTTAATTTCAGCTAACATGGCATTAAGATGCTGCTGAACTAAGCCAAAATCAAATCAACCTCGGGTTTATTGATGTTTTTTTAAAGATTAGCCACTTAACTGAAGTCGCAAACTCATGGTAGCCTCTTGCTGAAAATAAAAACTACCTTGAAAGGCTACCTTAAAGGCTACCTTAATTTTCGCGACACGTTAATTTCGCGAATTTTGCGATTTAAAACAAATCGCAAAATTAAAGCGACGCGAACAACAAGTGTTGCGAACAGAAGATGACGCGAAAATTAAATAACTCACATTAGTTACTGGTGGCATATAGTCCCACCGCTGCGTTTTTGATAATGGTGACGTTATTATACCTTTGATTAAGTCGGTTTACTAAATTCAAAGACATGTTTAAGTAACATTGCCAAGGAAATGAATTGTGTGTTAGTCGAAAACGCGAAGTTAAAGTGATTCAAAATACAAAATTTTCGCAACTGAAGTCGCGGGTTTTAAGTGTTGCGAAATACGCGCACCCCAAAATCGCGAAATATTCGTGTCGCGAAAATTTCATGTAATAAGGTAAATTAAATCATAACTTGTAGAGCTGTTCTGTCAAACAACACTAGTTAGCTACTTACACACAGATACTCAAGCCAGCACTCCAGGCTGTGTATAATTGATCGTAAGAAGCCATGGAGGCGTTCACCAATTTGCAAAGTTTCTCTGCCTCGTAGAAGTTCAGAGTCCTTGCTGTGAAGCGAGTGAGTGCTACCCTCTCCATCATGGTTCCCATGGCAATTTGCTGCAAATCTGTACTCAGAAAAAGGATCCCAAGCTATGGAATGCAGCCACTCATCACGTGCATATTTTCATACTTTTTGCTCATTACAACAGTACTTTATTCAAGCACTTAACAATTATAATAGTTTAATTTGTCAATTTTTTTCACGCATTTCGATTAGGTCTGATTTATAATCAATTAGAAGACAGACGCATAGATGACGGCATTCAGATATCTTGTTGTTCTTCATTACCTCACCTCACTTCACCTCACCTCACCTCACCTCACCTCACCTCACCTCACCTCATCTCACCTCACCTCACCTCATCTCATCTCATCTCATCTCATCTCATCTCATCTCATCTCATCTCATCTCATCTCATCTCATCTCATCTTATCTAACTCCCACCCTTTTGTAGGGAAGTGATGATTATAAAACTTGTATTGCAGTCGCAAATTCTCTACTAGCATTCACTAGCAGTCTTTCTTACCAGCAGTACACTTGTCATCGAAGAATTTCAAACCAATATTCTCAAGAGGACATTGGCAGTGAAACTGTCCTTCAGTGGGTCCATTGATGCAATCTTTACCGTGAAGGCATGGTGAAGAAGAACATGGAAGATACCTGTTGAGAGACTGGATACCAAAATATATATCTATATTTATTGTGATTGATGCTAACATGGATAACTGCTTTAATTAAGCAATTAGGACAATGATAGTACTGTAGTTATCTTAAATTTTACACCTCGAGAGTAAATCTAAAAACGGTACGAGACACTTCAAGATGTTTAAATCGATATATATCCCCTATTCTACAATCCCTTTAAAATTAATTACATGTTGTCAATCATGAAGGTCACTGGCACTTGCCTGTAAAATTACAGTCTTATCTAAAAACCTGTAAACCAAACCATCCAACAAACACTGGAACGAACAAACAAACAAACAACCAAACAAGCAAGCAAACAAAAGGAAAGAAAAGAAAAAGAACCAGGCTTTAGGTTTACAGCTGCTTGTTGTCAGTGCCCTCTTTGAAACGTGCCTCCAGGGAATCACGGTAGTTGTATTCATCCGTCATCAATTACCATGATTCCCTGCAGGCAACCTCGCGGTTCTATTAGTCTCCATGCACAAACTATATACCATTGTCATGTTTAATTGTTATATTTGTACCTTATTTTTCTTTTTTTAATTTTTATGCTAATATTGTAATTTCAAAATGTAAGGGCAAAATAAAGTGAAGTTGGAGTTGAAGTTCAGGCCTGTCTCATACAGGAAATGTGCTATTGTGCGTACGCGTGCGATGTTTTTTCAATCATGAAACCATTAGATACGGTATGTAAGAAGACCTTACCTCTTCTGTCATGCCATAATAGATAAACCCTTGTCTGCCTTGGATTTTTTCCGGTTCCAGTTTCATTTCAGAGTTGGTCAGCTCACATTCTTGAAAGCTTTGCGTTTGCATCCCGCCAAAGTTGAACGAAAAGCAGTTCTTGTTTACAGCATTAATGCAAAGAAACAAACAATCCCAAAAGTCTTGTGCACGGTGCCGCTCTAGCAAGCTGCCATTAAACGACTTCCCTTCCAGTTTGTAAAAATGTGCTTTGCGAACGTCAAAAGGGAGAGGATATATCAGAGACAGAAAAAAGATGGCCAGGCACAGAAGTAAAGACAGAGGAAGACCTTTTGTAGAGGGCATTTGAACGTTTGAGTTGAGGTCTCGCAATAACCTGAAAGTTGAAGAAATATAATGGTAAAACTTGTAGTTGTCCGTTTCCTTTGCTTCCATTTTATTTTCGTTTATATCAGTTTGTTATTTGTAATTTTTGATAAGCAAGCTCCCTAGTTTGGGTCCTCGGTTTCATTTCGATACCGTTTTAGATGTATAAAAGTTTAATACCCGTTTCATGCCTAAGGGCTGCCTTTTCCCGAGGGAGATTTGAAGAAGTCATCCACTCGTCCTCAGAATGTTTAACTTTGAAAATTAAGTGTATGGGGGTTACGTTTCTACATTAGCCAGACGTCCTCGGACTTATTTTACAGATCTTTGAGAAGTCAATGTACATATCTCAAATAAAACAGAAAACGCGACGATACTAAGCTTCAGTATTATATCACAACTAAACTTTGAAAGTGTTTGTTGTTAATTAAGCATTTTTGCTCAGAAGATCACCCCAGGGTCACTTTTTTTATCACTGGAAAACTAGTTTGGATCCTTTGTGAGCTTTCCTGACTCTGACTTGACACAGAAAAAGAGGAAAATGTCATTTTTCTATTCATTACTCTACATTTATCTATTCGGTAATTGCTCACCAAAGCAGGAAAAAAGGTTTTTGAGGCAAATTAGGAAACATTCCAATAAAATTGTAATTACGTGTGTTTCTAAACCTGCCTGAAGCCTAAATGGAAGTTTGCCGATACGTTGGTCTTTGCGTTTAGTTATTAAAACGTTGTTTTGGCTGTAATTTTACTAAGCTTAAGCTTGGTACTGATGTTCAATGTACTTGTACTTTAACACTTGAAATTCGATCTAGAATTGCTAATACTTTTTTTTT